CAACCCTGTGCTTCTTGGGAAGCTCCGAGGCTGCGACCACATGTACAGTAAGCCCAGCTATTTTGTTTTCGGGGAAGAGCCTTTCAGCCAATTTCCCGTTTCCTCATCAGTGCAGTACACCATTGCCACACCTTCTCTTTCCCAGACACCGTTGAAGGTGGGTGCTTTCACCCCGTCAGGTAACGCCAGAGTGGCCCCCTTCAGGAGTTTCTTTACCTCCGTTACCTCTTCAGTGGCCAGTTTCTGATCCGTATATGACTCCGGCATAACTGCAAACTTGAATGAGCTCGCAGTATTCGCAGCATATATGCCCTGATCCTGAGTTCTCATTCTCTTTTCTTTCGGTCTGACTGAGGGGATCGGCGTGGTACGCTCCAATGGAAGGCGTTTTATTGCCTTCCTCACAGCCCCCTCCCGCTGCCCCGGATCGACCTTCGCTGCTGCATCCGCCAAGGTTGCAATTGCCCCCGAGGTTTAATGCAGCTTCACTCTCTTGCGACGTCTTCTCTCGGCTCCACTCAGTCTGACCCGATTCACATCGATACCAGACTGGTCAGCCTAGTCAGACTTCGTGTGTTCGCCATCGCTGGCCCCACCCGAAGCTTCTTTTTCAATACTGAGATTTTTTAGATTGGTTTCCATTTTTGGTCCCACGAGTATCGCGGTTAAGCGTTTTCACCTGATGCATTGCCGCGATTGCCCAGGGCTTGGCTTTTCTCGGGTGGGTTACACCCAAGACTACTCTCAGAGGTCGCCCAGGTTTCTGCGAGGCACCGTTAGCGACACAGCTCCCCCTGAGCGCCGAGGCCATGGCGTACGCCGCTCACATACATGAATTGGGTGGGTTCCTCTTAGCGACCGCGAGCGGCGGTAGTCCTTGAGACCCCAACGACCCGCGACCGAGCCCCCTCACTAACGACAAAGTGGGAACCCCGTGGAGGGGGTAATCTCTGTAATCAAAAAATAAAAACTGCGACGAAAGTTGCGGCGTTATGAAAGACCTAATGGATAACTCGTCCGCGAATTAAAAAATTGTCTCTCCCCTCCTAATTGAGATTAAGGGACGAAAAAACGGCAGTTCGACACAGAATTAAATTCCCCATCAATTACCCCTCTTTCAGCCCTTAATCTCTGTAAAAAATGGAAGAAACATGAAAATCGCAGCGCAGTAAGAAAAATAATTGTTTTGCGGCGCACAGTGACTCCCGGTAATTAAAAATTCACCTCTCCCCCCCCCTAATTGAGATTAAGGGATGAAAAAGGGCAATTCGACGGAGAATTAAATTCCTCATCAGTTAACCCTATTTCATCCCTTAATCTCTGTAACAAAAAAAAACTGCCATGAAAGTCAGGGGCCAGTAAGAAAAATAATTTTTGTGCGGCGCGCACTAATTCTCCATCGAACTGCCGTTTTTTCATCCCTTAATTTCAATTAGGAGGGGAGAAGTGAATTTTTAATTCGCGGGCGAATGGTGAACAGTCAGTGTGCGCCGCGAAAAAATTATTCTTATTGGCCCCTGACTTTCATGGCAGTTTTTATTTTTTTGTTACATAGATTAAGTGATGAAAGAAGTTTAATTAATGGAGAATTTAATTCTTCGTCGAAGTGCCCCTTTCTCATTCCTTAATTAAAAACGATTATTTTTCTTACCGCGCTGTGATTTTCATGACAATTTCTTCCATTTTTTACAAACATTAAGGGCTGAAAGAGGGTTAATTGATGGGGAATTTAATTCTCCATCGAACAGCATTAGTTTCGTTCCTTAATGTTAATTAGGAGGGGAGAGACGATTTTTTAATTAGCGGGCGAGTTATCGGGAGTCACTGCGCCGAGAAACCATTAGGTTTTTCATGGCGCCGCAAATTTCGTCGCAGTTTGTATTCTTTTATTACAGAGATTAAGAGATGCAACAAAGATTGATAGATGGGGAATTCAATTCTCCGTCGAACAGCATTGGTTTCATTCTTTAATATTAATTAGGAGGGGAGATACGATTTTTTAATTAGCGGCCGAGTTATCGTAAAGCGCCGTAAATTTCGTCGTNGAGGGATAAAACGGGGGTTGCTTCATTGGGAATTTAATTCTCCATCGAACAGCATTGGTTTCATTCCTTAATATTAATTAGGAGC